TCTCTCTCTAAGGCAATTAGCCTTCCTTTGTTCTGGGATCACCCACAGTGAGCCACCCCACTGTTTGGTTCATAAGCCATCCTTAGCACTGATAATCTTAAGGATTAACTAGACCACCAAGTCAAGAGGAATATGAAATCTCTGGACATTTCAGAGAGTTTTATAATATTTAATAATAACCTTTGAACTGCAGAGCTGGAAGGGACCCTATGGATCATGAAGTCCAGCCCCTGTCAAGGAGGCACAGAGGGGATCTGGCTAAGCCACTGAGCTATCCAGCAGGACTCCAGGACTCTAACACAGTTTGGGAGATATACATGTTTTTTCCCCCCATCAAGGATCTGAACCCCACATTGCACAGTCTGCTTCTCACAGCTTTTCAACATAATGTATAAAGCAAAACTCAATCTTATTGTCTATTTCAAAATCTTTGAAATCCCCCTCCCTTTTTTTTAGTCACACAACTCTTTTCAGGAAATATAGCTGTTCATAATGATCACATTCAGTTTATGAAGAGATACTAATTTTTGCCCTCTAGGGCTTTCTTCCCATTGCCAGCAACAGTCATTGTGACCCACGGGATTCATTCTCATGACAGATAATTAATTACTCGGCCTCAACAAGGGGTGTTTCCCTCTGGTTTGAGTGCCAAGGAGATTCCAACCAAGCCAGCACATATGAGTCAGATTTTATAATTTCCTCAGAATAGATTTAATAGGGTTGATGGAAACTTGGGGCCAAATAATGTAACAGCTTAAATAACTAGGCCTTGGAAAAGTTACTTTTCTTAGCAATTTCCAGAATACTCCGGACAATGTGGCCAACAATCACTTTGGGTCTGAGGACCAATTTTCTCCCTGTAGTTCATCAAGAGCCATTTTCAGCCCCCAGCCACGCTGCTGAATTAATTGCAAAGATTGTGGAAAGTAATTTTTCCTTATTTCATATATATTTTAAAAAATCTGCCCACAACATACTGGTCTTCCCCTCACCTTGTGTCCCTCCCTCTGCTTCCTGTTAAAATAACATTTCCAGCAGGCTTTCTAGATCTTTATTAGACTGTGGGAGCTGACCAAGACTGTTGAAAATAAGATATTTCAGAGCTCAGTAATTCACAGATTGCCCTAAGCCAGAAGCAACTTGATGGCATGTAACACTAATTAGACTCTGGAGAAGGTCTGCATATCACTCACAGCTTGCTTTTCCATAAAAAATAAAAGGGGATTAGTTTTTGTCACTGTGATCACAATGAATACAGTGACAGGAAAAGAAGACCTCCTAGTGCAATGGTTCTCAATGTTGGGTCCCCAGATTTAGTTCTTGGACTAAAACTCCCAAAAGCCTTCACTACTAGCTGTGCTGGCCAGGATTTCTGGGAGCTGTAGTCCAAGAACATCTGGGTACTCAAGACTGGGTTAGGGATGGAGAGAGAACGTTAAGTTCATGTAATGCATGCTGTCAGTCCCTACCCTGGGCTGTGCAAATATGTAGTTGTTATTCATCTGTTGACAGGAATTTATGAAGAGTTTCCTCAGCGAAAATATCATTTTTGCTACTGAGACAATATGATTCCCCCACCTTACCAGCCAATGACCTTCTACAATGAGAATGTATATGGAATGTAGATGCAGAAATCGGATGACGGTGAAGCCCCTGCATTTGCCATCATGACTGACATTTTCACCAAGCTTAGGAATGCTATTTTTGTGAATTACAATTCCCAGAATTCCCCAGCCACCACACTAACAGGAGGATTCTGGGAAATTAAGTCCAATTTTTTTTAAATGAAGCTTTTTCTTTTTCTCTTCCTCTCTTCCCAAACACACACATACACTATGTACACACACATGTATGCCTTTTGAATTTGTTGTTGTTTAGTCGTTAAGTTGTGTCCAACTCTTCGTGACCCCATGGACCAGAGCATGCCAGGCCCTCCTGTCTTCCACTGCCTCCTGGAGTTGGTCGCTTCGGTGACATTGTCCAACCATCTCGTCCTCTGTCGTCTCCTTCTCCTCTTGCCTTCACACTTTCCCAACATCATGGTCTTTTCCAGGGAGTCTTCTCGTCTCAGGAGATGGCCAAAGTATTGGAGCCTCAGGTTCAGGATCTGTCCTTCCACTGAGCACTCAGGGTTGATTTCCTTCAAAATGGATAAGTTTGTCCTCTTTGCAGTCCAGGGGACTCTCAAGAGTCTCCTCCAGCACCACAAGTCAAAAGCATCAATTCTTCGGCGGTCAGCTTTCTTTATGGTCCAGCTCTCACTTCTATATATTGCTACTGGAAAAATCATAGCTTTGACTATGCGGACCATTGTCGGCAAGGTGATGTCTCTACTTTTTAAGGTGCTTTCTAGGTTTGTCATCGCTTTCCTCCCAAGAAGCAGGCATCTTTTCATTTCATGGCTGCTCTCACCATCTGCAGTGATCATGGAGCCCAAGAAAATAGAATATTTCACTGCTTCCATATCTTTCCCTTCTATTTGCCAGGAGGTGATAGGACCAGTGGCCATGATCTTAGTTTTTTTTATGTTGAGCTTCAGATCGTTTTTTGTACTCTCCTCTTTCACCCTCATTAAGAGGTTCTTTAATTACTCTTCACCTTCTGCCATAAGAATGGTATCATCTGCATATCTGAAGTTGTTGGTATTTGTTCTGGCAATCTTAATTCCAGTTTGGGATTAATCCAGTCCAACCTTTCGCATGATGTATTCTGCATATAAATTAAATAAGAAGGGGGGCAATATACAGCCTTGTCGTACTCCTTTCCCAATTTTGAACCAATCAATTGTTCCATACCTAGTTCTAATTGTTGCTTCCTGTCCCACATATAGATTTCTCCAGAGATAGATAAGGTGGTCAGGCACTCCCATTTCTTTAAGAACTTCCCATAGTTTGCTGTGGTCGACACAGACAAAGGCTTTTGAGTAGTCAATGATGCAGAAGTAGATGTTTTCTGGAACTCTCTGGCTTTCTCCATAATCCCTTGCATGTTAGCAATTTGGTCTCTAGTTCCTCAGCCCCTTCGAAATCCAGCTTGTACTTCTGGGTGTACAAGCCTACCTTGTTGAAGCCTACCTTGTAGGATTTTGAGCATAACCTTGCTAGAGTGTGAAATAAGTGCAATTGTACAGTAGTTGGAGCATTCTTTGGCACTGCCCTTCTTTGGGATTGGGATATAGACTGATCTTTTCCAATCCTCTGGCCACTGCTGAGTTTTCCAAACTTGCTGGCATATTGAGTGTAGCACCTTAACAGTGTCATCTTTTAAGATTTTAAATAGTTCAACTGGCATGCCATCACATCCACTGGCCTTATTGTTAGCCATGCTTTCTAAGGCCCACTTGACTTCACTCTCCAGGATGTCTGGCTCAATGTCAGCAACCACACTATCTGAGTTGTCCGGGACATCCAGATCTTTCTGGTATAATTCTTCTGTGTATTCTTGCCATTTCTTCTTGATGTCTTCTGCTTCTGAGAGGTCCCTACCATTTTTGTCCTTTATCTTGTCCATCTTTGCACAAAATGTTCCTTTAATATCTCCTATTTTCTTGAAGAGATTTCTGGTTTTTCCCTTTCTATTATTTTCCTCTATATCTTTGCACTGTTCATTTAAGAAGGCCCTCTTTGGGATGGTTTTTCTTGGTGCCTCCTGTACAATGTTACGAGCCTCCATCCATAGTTCTTCAGGCACTCTGTCCACCAAATCTAGTTCCTTAAATCTGTTCTTCACTTCCACTGTGTATTCATAAGGGATCTGGTTTAGATTATACCTGACTAGCCTAGTGGTTTTTCCTACTTTCTTCAGTTTGAGCTTGAATTTTGCTATACAAAGCTGATGATCAGAGCCACAATCAGCTCCAGGTCTTGCTTTTGCTGACTGTATAGTGTTTCTCCATCTTTGGGTGAAGAGAATATAATCAATCTGATTTTGGTATTGCCCATCTGGTGATGTCCGTGTGTAGAGTCACCTCTTGTGTTGTTGGAAGAGTGTTTGTGATGACCAGCTTGTTCTCTTGATAAAACTTTATTAGCCTTTGCCCTGCTTCGTTTTGAACTCCAAGGCCAACATTTCCTGTTGTTCCTTTTATCTCGACTTCCTACTTTAGCATTCCAGTCCCCTATAATAAGAACATTGTTCTTTGGTGTCAGTTCTAGAAGGTCTTCTGAGTCTTCACAGAATTGGTCAATTTCAGCCTCTTCAGCATCGGTGGTTGGTGCATAAACTTGGATTACTGTGATGTTGAAAGGTCTGCCTTGGATTCGTATTGAAATCATTCTATCATTTTTGAGATTGTATCCCAGTACAGCTTTTCCCACTCTTTTGTTGACTATGAGGGCTACTCCATTTCTTCTACGGGATTCTTGCCCACAATAGTGAATATGATAATTGTCTAAATTGAATTTGCCCATTCCAGTCCATTTTAGTTCACTGATGCCCAGGATGTCAATGTTTATTCTTGCCATCTACTGTTTGACCTCACCCAGCTTACCAAAATTCATAGATCTTACATTCCAGGTTCCTATGCAAAATTTTTTTGGCAGCATTGAACTTCCCTTTCACTTCCAGACGCGTCCGCAGCTGAGCGTCGTTTCGGCTTTGGCCCAACCACTTCATTAGCTCTGGACCTACTTGTCCTTGTCCTCCGCTCTTCCTCAGCAGCATGTTGGACGCCTTCCGTGGTCAGAATCCTACTGGTGTTTCTCTAATATGCCATGGTTAATTGCAGCTAACTGAGAAGATACTGGGGAACATCTTAGTCACATGCCTCGTCACATGACCAACTGCATAACCAAGATATATCTTAGCAATTGGCCACGGCAATTTATGCAAATCTTATAGGAATACCAGTAATATTCCAGCCAGCATATTACTTCAGCTGATATATTGCAAGCTTCCATTTTCTTTCTTGGCTGTTGATATTCCTGCTGTATAATGAAAACAGTTGTAATCAAAGTTGTAACTGAAGAAAATAATACAAAAATTGAGTACTGGATACTTACCACCTCCATTCTTATAACAGAGATAAGGGAATCTCCAGACATTGCCAAGACCAATGATCTCACCAGCCACAGATAACACAAACTCCACTTTGTTGGTCCACTGCCCTCTGTCCTGTAGCTCACTCTCCTCTGTTTCTTGCATTACTGCTATCTCTTGTACACTCATGCTCCCGTTAGGTTCAACAATCCAATTTTCTTTGCTTTTCATGGCTCTGGATGGTGGAGATAAACAGGGATAAATGAGACATGGGACATGACACAGGAAGTTAACAAGAATCTTAGAAGTGCAGAGCTGGAAGGGATCCTAAGGATCATCAGGTCCAGCCTCTTGTCAAGGAGGCACAGTGGGGAATCGAACTCCCAACCTCTTGTTCCAGAGCCAGATACCTGAACCACTGAGCTATAGGCATCACCTTTGGTTTCATCTGTATTCATTTTTTTAAAATCTCAAATTCTTTCTACTCCAAATATGAAGAAATTTGCAAATGTATTCTTGAAGGCATTCATGGCTGGGATCTGATGGTTGTTGTGGGTTTTTCGAACTCTTTGGCCATGTTCTGAAGGTTGCTCTTCCTGACGTTTTGCCAGTTTCTGTGGCCAGCATCTTCAGACGACAGGAGTCAAAGCACAGACAGAGTTCTGACTCCTGTCTTCTGAAGATTCCGGCCACAAAGACCTGCGAAATGTTAGGAGGAACAACCTTCAGAACACAGCCAAAGAGCCTGAAAAACCCACAATAACCATCAAATTTGCAAATCTTGGTGATTTCTTAAAGAATGTTTTTTAAATAAATAGAAATTATCTCCCTTTCCCCGCCATGCATCTATATCTGCCAAATTCAACAGATTCACTTGTTCCCAGCATAGAGGACCATGCTATGCTTGCTTAACATATATTTGGTAAATTTTAGGAGGCTGTCAGGAAAAGAGACTGGACAACTCAAATGCACCACCACCATGGCTGAATAAATAGAACACAAACCCATACTTGTGTTAAAGAGAAGCCACGTTCAGATGGATTCATCTGTGCCTTTCAGTCTACTTACACAGTGATTGAAATCCTCTCCTTTCTGGAGTAACATAAAGTTAGGTCAGCAGAAGTGTGTGTCAGGAAACAAGCATTGAGCAATTTGATGATACAATTGACCACATATTTCCCTGTCATGAATGCTGCATGGCACAAATGCAGAAGTGCTTCAGATAGAGATAAAGATAGAGATAGATAGCACTTCTGCCCTGGTGTGATTTTCCACATTGCTTCCAGAGCTTCATGTGCAACAAGAACAGTACAAGCAGGATTTCAGTTACAACAATGTGTTGGTGTTTTTTAAATGGATTCTTATCAACCTAAATACAGTGGTACCTCGCAAGACGATGACCACACTAAACGATGAATCCTCATAATGATGACTTTTTTGCAATCACGATAGCGATTTGCAAAACAGTCATTCCAATGGGGGCTTTTCATTGGACGTCAATTAGGTCCGTGCTTCCCGAACCATTTGTTCGCAAGACGACAATTTTTCCCCGATGATCGTCAGCTTCACAAAATGGCTGCCCTGTGTTTTCTGGACCCATGCTCCGCAGGGCAGCCATTTTTACAGCTGATCAGCGCTCACAAAATGGCTTCCCTATGGGCGATCTTCGCTGGACGATGAGGTATTTTCCCCATTGGAACGCATTAAACCGGGTTTCAATGCATTCCAATGGGGAAAGGGTTTTCACATAACGACGATTTCGCTAAACAGCTATTTCAATGGGACAGATTATTGTTGTCATGCGGGGCACCACTGTATGAAGAAATTCGCCAATTTGGATAATTCCTTTTTGTTTTAAACAAAGTGAAGTGCAAATCTCATTCACCCCCAGTTTATATCAAAACACATTTCTGTAATCAGATAAGATTTAGCTACTCTATGAAAGCATTCTCTCTTCTTCCATGAAATACTCATCCCCACAGGACTAGCTCAAGATATTTTGCTATCTGGGACTGCACAGCAAAACATGTGTGTCCCTATTTCTCAAGTCAGAATGCATAATAGAAGAGACCAGTCACGTTATTTTCACACCTGTGGAAGAAAGCAAGATGACTCTCTAACTCTCCCTGTCAGTATTAAGGCAATAATAAATGAAAATATCTGTGTATAGTTGCCCCTACCAAGCTGCAAGATTATGAAATTGATACACTTAGAGGACCCTGTTTGTGTATACCCCAAAGGTTTTTAAATGACTCAGTACATTTAATTAAAAGCAGTGTGTTGCTTACAGTGCAAACTTCAACTACTAGGTGGCAAACTTTACTAAACATCAGCAAAGAAGCTGAAGTCAGGTCCAGTTTAGTCAGTTCTCCAGAGTGTCTCTAGGTGGTTCTATAAGGGTCAAAGAGATAGCAGAGAACACAACATATCACACATGACTATTTCCTTCTGAAGAGCACCCCTCAAACCCCTAAGTCTTCAAACATTTACAGGGGGGAAGGGGTCCTGCTGCCTCTTAAGTGGGAAGGGAGGAAAGTGAGCACCATTGTATGGGGAGAGAAAAATAGTGAACAAAAAAAAATCAAAAGGGGAGCAGAAAGAAAGAGCAGAGGAAAGGAATACTGGGATGAAGAGGGAAAGTGGTGGCTGAGGGAAGAGAAAAAGACCAATTAGCTACATGGACAGAAATGGCCATGGGTAAAATGATGGAAGGCAAAGACTGTTTGGACTGGTTGGTGAGGGGGAAGAAAGAGCACTGGGTAAGGATTAAGTTTTTTGTACTCTGCGTGAAGCATCTTGAGAAGGCAAGACTCACTGGAGAAGATAATAGTGCAAGGAAAAGCTGAAGTGGGAAATAGGAGATGGGTTGACTCCATAAAGGAAGCCACAGCCTCGAGTTTACAACAGCTGAGCAGGGCTGTTGTGGACCAAACATTTTGGAGGTTACTCATTCAGAGCCACCTTGAGTCAGAGGTGATTTGACAGCATGTAACAACTCAATGTGAGGGCTGGATGCTTCTGTTATTAATACAGTGGTGCCTCGCAAGACGATTTTAATTTGTTCCGCGAAAATTGTTGTCTTGTGAAAAAATCGTCTTGCGAGGTTAGAGAATTAAATTCATTTGTCTTGCCAAGCATCGGTCTCCAAAAAAAAAGTCTTGCGGCGAATTAAATTTATTCATCTTGTGAAACATCGGTCTCAAAAAAAAAGTCTCGCAAAGCACGGTCATAGAAAAAACCGTCTTGCGAAGCACCATAGGGATCGCGAAAGCCAATCATCTTGCAGGGTTTTCGCCCCGCGAGGCGATCGTCTTGCGAGGCACCACTGTTGGGGTTTTCGCCCCGCGAGGCGAGGCACCACTGTACATAAAATAACTTTGCTGCTGTTTCTTGACACCCAACACAGCTGTCTCATGTGATTACTAAAAAGGCTGACACTACTACACAGATATACACCTGTACCTGCACATTCACCCACAAACAATACCTTCCAAGGGTTTATCTCTCAGGTGTTTTTTTTTCTCTATTAGCTTCAGTCTTGTTCCATTCCCATCATCTCAGGCTCCAGCATCCTTTCCTCTCAATCCTTATTCTCTTCTTGAGTATGTTTCCCCACATAGCCAGAATACTTGTTTTTAATGCTGCCCCATTGATCTTTCATTTCCTCATTTTTCATTGATAGTCTTCTACCTACTGTAGTGATGATCAGGTCTGGCCCTTACCTAGCCCTCTCTGACGATTCAGAAATTCTCAGATAGCTGTTTCCTTATGCTACCAGATGTGTGGCAGTCATGCCATCTAGCTAATCTCCTAAGCAAAGCACACATTCAACACAGATGTTCAGCACAGATGTTCAGCCAAGATTCCTCCTCTGTGGGATCAGTGTCAAAGTTCCACGGGTTGTCAAAGGAATTGAAAGCCAATGCTCCATAACAGAACCTGTCTTGAACCATCCCCATCATCACTACATTCCAATTTGCTTCTGCCAAATGCAAATCATCAAGCATAACGGAGCTTTTGCACATGCTTATTAGCAATGTCAGTAGGGCCCCACAGCAGAAGACTTAGCTTCAATTTGTTTGCTTATTATGTATGACAAGAAAGCAAATGTGCAGAGCCCATGCATAAGATCCAGTGCAGAATCTTATTTAACAGGACATTAATACAGTACTGCTTACTAAGCGACAACATCCACAATGCTGTCCCTTGGAACCTTGACCTACCCTATCAATGGCTTGTTGGCATATATTAGCATATTTACATATGTGTGTGTTTTGGGTTGCCACTTGAGATCTTGAGCATACACTTCATCTCCAAGCATGACTGTTTGTTTGCAATATTCTGGTTTGCGACAGCATCTCCTTATAAAGGATCAGATATCAGGGTTGGCAGTGTGCAGGCTGAGATTAAACAGTCTATAGGAAACACAGCTTGCACAGGGAAACATGTTGCTCAGATGCAAGGGAACTGCTGGATTGCTCAGTGGTTTAGGTATCTGGCTGCAGAGTTAGACGCCCCCCCACCGTTCCTGTGACTTGATGATCTATAGGATCCCTTCCAGTTCTTCAGTTCTAAGATTACTCTAAGAGCCAAGTCAGGAAGTCAGCAGTTTTTATGAAACTCTGAAAGAGACACTGGTTCCTACAGGTCAGGATGAAGGCTGCCAAACACCAGTCAGTTCTGAGATTACTCTAAGAGCCAAGTCAGCAGTTTTTATGAAACTCTGAAGGACACACTGGTTCCTGCAGGTCAGGATGAAGGCTGCCAAACACCAGTCAACTATCTTCAGCAGTGGTGATGCAGCGTTGAGCGTTTGTGGCCACAATTCCTTCACATTTTGAGCATCTCCGATGGCACTAAGACTCTCCTACAAAGTCACCATTTTATTTATGTGTCTCCTTTCTCTCAAATCTGAGACCAAGGCTGCTTACAACCTAATTCAAAAAAAGCAGATTTCCAGCTAAAGAACACAGGCCATAAGTTAGGTGCCAGGCTGAGAGTGGTGCCCCACACCCTTTTGGGCACCGCGTGGCATCTTGAGGACTCTAAGAATACCACTGTGCCAAGGAATTACTTTGATTTTTTAAAAATGTCATCCAGATGGCCCCAGAGTCCTTATTTTATTTTTGAATCCTCAACTCTACCACCTGAGTAATGGTTAAAGTAATACTATGGTTTTGGGGAGAAAATTGTATTTTAAAACTATACACTAAAAAAAAAAATGCAAACCCAAAA